ACCTGGGTGGCTCAGTGGGTTAAAGCCTCTGCCTTCGGCTCAGGTCAAGATCCCAGGGTCCTGGGATCGAGTCCCACATCAGGCTCCCTGCTCAGCAGAGAGCCTGATTCTTCCCCTCCCACTCTCCCTGCTTGTGTTCCCTCTCTCGCTGTGTCTGTCAAATAAATAAATTAAAAAAAAAAAAAAAAAAAAAAAGAGGGCCTCCAGTTCCAGGTGCTCACAGGTAAAGACTCACAGCTAGGCCTGAAACACAAACGTGTTTTCCACAAACCCCACTCTCCCTGCTGTTCTAAAAACATAAAAAACAAGTTCCCCAAAGCAAAATCCAGTCCAGTGGTTCTTACCAGGGCAATTCTGCCCTCCAGGGGACATGTGGCAATGTCTGGAGACACTCTGGGGATGAGCAGAAGCCAGGGGTGCTGGTACACATCCTACAATGCACATCCCCCACTACAAGGACTCACGTGGCCCAAAAGCCCACACCAGCCCATCCCACCCCAGGACTGCGGGCTCAGGGAGCAGAGGGCATCCAGCTCAACCCATGCAGGGCGGTTACGTCACGGCTGTGCCATTCTCTTCCCACTGTGCCAGGAGGTAAGACCTGTGCCACAGGCACCCAGGAGCCCACCACTAGCCCTGGGGCTGTGAGGAACCTGCCTGGATTTGCCTCCATCGTGTCCAAGGAGGCACTGCCTGTCAGGAAAGCAATGAGAACTTGGCTCCCATTACCCTGCAGGAGAGCGTGCCCTTGAAGCCCAGAAGCATAGTACACACCCTGTAGAACTCCAGCTCTCAGCCCTCACTCCCCCCTTCACGCTGTCTGCACAGTGCTCCAGGCCGAGGCTCGTGCATCTGGACCGTGCTCAAGACTGTGACAGGCATAGCTCCCAAGTGTCCTGGGGATTCCGTATTAACTTATGCTCCTATATCAAGGGACCCTTGTTTCCCAGGGAAACTTCCTCCTTATCCACTAGAAATCACTCCTGAAAACATCTAGAAAAAAGGTCAACTGTCAACAATGACACATGTTGACGGATTACAGGTGATCAAGACAACCTATGAGGGAAAATGATGGAAGTAGCTTCCCCGATTTCAAAAATTCATTTAAATCATTCTAAAGCAGAAGTAAAACTCCTTTTAACCATGCAAGCTCACTTGACACTGTAGTATCTCTTTACCTGTATAAGTAACTGCAGGATTATTTTTAATCAAAGGCTACTTAATAACTCTAGAAATCAACCACAGTCAGGATTATGAAACCATGGAAGAGAACTTGGAGGGGAAATCTCTTCCTGTCTGTTGTTGCCTACACTCACCAGCTAGTCCCAAACTGCCACAGTTTTGTCAGTTCCAATGCCAGGCCTGGGGGTAGGCTGAGTGAGACAACAGGCCAGAAATGAGCGGCTCCCCCACGAAAGCCTCATTTTTTCATGTAGTGTGTGTGGGGGGGTTAAAAATCAACCCAAATGATGTCTCCTTGGGGGCCGTGGGTGGCATGATGTCATGGCTTCTCCGAGCCACAGGGTCTTCAAGGAGTTGAATACAAGAACACCTACCACCTAATTCTGAAAGGGCCTAGACAACAGGCATCTGGTGCAGTCGCCAAAGTTCCCCTGCCCTTCCTGATCAAACAAGGTGCAGACAAACAGCACTGCTCCACCACTAGTCAATGAAAAGCAACAAAGCCTCGTTTCTGCTTTCCAGCGAGGACTGCACAGGGCAGTCTGACTTGAGTAGTGACGACTCGCAGCAGAGTCCCCTGATTCACCTGGGGTGGCTCTGGTGCTTTCATTACCTACGTGTGATAGGAGTCAGCAAACTCAGAGCAGGCGCGTCCCCTACCTGGGGTCTCCCTGACAGTGATGAACACAGTGGGGCAGTATTCAAACCCACCACCACCTGCCACCACTGAGGTGGATGGGGACGCGGGGGTCTCCCAGGAGGAGAGAAAAGCTACCTGGCTTCTCAGGGAACGGGTCCAGAATCACAAATGCCCAACCACGGTTCTCCTGGAATGTTATGACCTTGATCTCCTAAGAAGTTCGTTTCCAGATGCTTTGTTCTCATCGCCATCAAATACTCTGCTAACTAGGTAGGCAGCAAGTGTGGCCCCTCGTACTAGAGACACAGACTTCATGCTCAGGGAAGGCGACTTGGGTAAGTGGCCATCCAAGGTCACCCAACTGGGAACCTAGTGACAAGGGCTGTATTTCAGGTTTGGTGACGCCCCACAAGATGGGTTCCCATTAGGTCGTTAGGTGTCTCTTTACAGGTTCCCTAATTAGAGACTGGAAGTCAATACACCAACACCTCCTGATATTAGGACAGCTGGATACCAACCATCAGGCACTCTTGCCGGACGCCCGCGACCCCACACCCTGCAAACCCCGGCCTCCATCCCAGCCCCCAAAACCACAAGCCTGCCTACCGCAAAATGTCACTGGGGCAGTTCACGTTTGTTTGTTCCCCCCCCCCCCTTTTTTTTTTCTTTTGGACGAAGGGGCTACAATCGGGCTCCGGAGGACGAAGCGGGGCGCCAGACAGACGCGCTCCACGCCCTGCCACGAAGTCGAAGGTAGGGCCGGCAATGGACGGCCCCACACCACACCCGCCCGGCCTGAAGGACCCCAGATCCCGGAAAGCCTGACCCCCAGACCCCGCCGCCGCCGGGAAGCCCAGGGGGTCGGCCTCGCAGACCCCCAGGCCCCGGGGAGGCTGGCCCTACACACCCCCAGATCTCGGAAAACCCGGCGCTGTAGACCCCCAGACCTTGAGAAGCGCGGGCCTTGCGGGCCTCCCGACTCCCAGACCCCAGGGCACCCGGGAACCCGCGGCACGGAGCCCCCGGGATCCCGGAAGCCCTACCCCGCAGAACCCCCCCCCGACCCCGCCCGGTGCCCCAGGCCGCGCCCCGGCCCCCACCCTGCCCCTCCTCCCTCCCCTCCGACCCCCCGCGGTCCGCGGGCACCAGCCAAGCGCGGTCGCTAGCCCGGCCCGCAGACCCCACCTTGAGGGTCGGGTACTCCTGCACCTTCAGGGTCATGGAGAGCTGAGCAGCTGATTCCTGCACCGCCATCTTGAATCGGCCAAAACATTAGCGGGTGGGGGAAGCGCCGCGCGCGGCACGCCGGGTAGTGACGTCGCGCCCTCCGGCGGGGCGGGGCGGGCTGGGGCGGGCCGACGCGTCTGCTCCAATCGCGTCCGCCCACCAGACAGTGGCGGCGGAAGAAGGCGCGGCCGCGGCTTGTGCGCGGAGAGGCATCCGGCCGGACCAATCATCTCTGGCCGTTCTCTCGTTCAGCCAATCAACGGGAAGCCCGGCTCGGCGGCTCCCCCTGGAACCAGCGGCCGGGAAGGGCAGGCTCTGCGCCGGGCTGCTCCGGCCAGTCTCGGCGTCTGTGGGCGGAAGGGCCTGAGCGTCCGTCGGAGCTGGGAGGCTGAGTACGGAGAGGCACGGAGGTGCGTGCCGCATGGATTTACCCCCTTACGGACGGGGTGGCCGCTGCCCCGTCGGAGAAGGAAAGGCAGACTTGGTACTACCGAATGTCCGGAAAGCGCCCCAAGTGTGCCCTCCCCACCAGGGGCACGTGACCCGGTGTCCACCGCGGCGCTCCAGTTCCTTGCCAACCACTTCACGATCCAGCCTTTCCAAATAACCCTCTTACTCCCCTTTTAAAACAGGAATGAAATTAGGTTTCATCAATTAGGAGAAGACTTTCAAGTTAAACCGTTTCTCGTCTTTCTCACTCATTCCCAAAACAATTATTTAAAACTGAAGCTTAGTGTAAAACACCTAAGACTATACAAGTCAGGACCGCTATTGTGGGATGGGGAAACCGCCACGACCCTCTGCCCCCACCTCTGCCCAGCCCATATGCCATGCAGGTGAGGAGAGAAGCACACTGGGGTGGGAGGCAGCTTCCTGTCCTGGATCCAGCCGAAGTCCTTGTACTGGTTGCATCAGCATGAGTGAATTCATCAGGATCATCAGAAAGTGCTTACAGCTCAGTACTAATCACGCTTTCTCCCAGTTGGTGAATAGATGCGACAGGTCCACCCCGATGAAGTGTGAAAGTGAGAAGGAGGAAGACAGATTCCTCTGTGTGGTGTATGCCTCTAAGGAGACATTGGGAATGAAATTGATGTAAGACTAGGGGCACCTGGCTGGCTCAGTCCGTTAAATGTGGGACTCTAGGTTTTGGGTTCAGGTCATGATCTCAGGATTGTTAGATGGAGCTCTGCCTGAGGCTCAATCAGGGGGTCTTAATGGGATTCTCTCTTTCCCTCTGCCTCTGCCCCAACTTGCACAAAAGTGCACACACACTCTCTCTCTGAAATAAATCCTTTAAATTGGTGTAAGACTAGAAAAATGCAGCATTCTGTGGGAGAAGATATTTGTAAATGTCTTATCAGATAAAGGGCTAGTATCCAAAATCTATAAAGAACTTATCAAACTCAACACCAAAGAACAAATAATCCAGTTAAGAAATGGGCAGAAGACACAAACAAACATTTCTCCAAAGAAGACACACAAATGGCCAACAGACATATGAAAATATGCTCAACATCGATCAGCATCAGGGAGATACAAATCAAAAGCACAGTGAGATACCACCTCACACCAGTCAGAATGGCTAAATTAACAAGTCAAGAAATAACAAATGTTGGCAAAGATGTGGAGAAAGGGGAACCCTCTTACAGTGCTGGTGGGAATGCAAACCGATACAGCCACTCTGGAAAATAGCGTGGAGGTTCCTTAAAAAGTTAAAAATAGACCTATCCTATGACCCAGCAATCGCACTACTGGGTATTTGCCCCAAAGATACAAATGTAGTGATCTGAAGGGGCACGTTCACCCAAATGTTTATAGCAGCAATGTCCACAATGGCCAAACTATGGAAAGTGCCCAGATGTCCATTGACAGATGAACAGATAAAGAAGATGTGGTATATAAATATACATAAAGACAATGGAATATTACTCAGCCATCAAAAATGAAACACGGATGGAACTAGAGGATATTATGCTAAGTGATATAAGACAATTATCATATGATTTCATTCATATGTGGAATTTAAGAAACAAAACAGGTGGATGGGGAAGAGAGGGAAAAATAAAATGATGAAATCAAAGAGGGAGAACCATAAGAGACTCTTTTTTTTTTTTAAAGATTTTATTTATTTATTTGACAGAGAGAGATCACAAGTAGACGGAGAGACAGGCAGAGAGAGAGAGAGAGAGAGAGAGAGAGAAGCAGGCTCCCTGCTGAGCCGAGAGCCCGATGCGGGACTCGATCCCAGGACCCTGAGATCATGACCTGAGCCGAAGGCAGCGGCTTAACCCACTGAGCCACCCAGGCGCCCCCCATAAGAGACTCTTAATCATAGGGAACAAACTGAGGGTTGCTGGAGGGGAGGGGGCTAGGGAAATGAGGTGACGGAGTGATGAACATTAAAGAGGGCACGTGATATAATGAGCACTGAGTGTTACATGCAACTGATGAATCACTGAACTCTACCTTTGACACTAGTAATACACTATATGTTAATTAATTGGATTAAAATAAAATAAAAATTTTAAAAAGACTTAAGAGAATACTGAACAGTAGTGAGCTTATTTGGAAATACAAAGGCAGTAATTTGAAGCAAAAAAAAAAAAAAAAGAAAAAAAGTGCACCATCTTAGCATTTTTTAAACCCTTAGCAAGGATAAAAAGGGATGCTACCAACTATGATTGATCCCAAATCTAATCACAGTTCATCAGAATAGTGGTGTTCCTGTCTAGTTTAACAAGTTGTTTTTGTATTTCAAGGAGAAAAACTGAACTTGAAATTAGCACATGCAACTTTGGAGAACTGTATTATTTAACCTAGTTGTCTTGTTTTCAATTTTCAGGAGTTTAAAAACTAAAGTACTGTGGAAATTGAAACCAAGTGTGGTTTAGAACGGAGTCTGGAGGCGGGCAGTGGAACTCCTGCCCTACACTCCAAGTCAACGAGGGACCCAACAGGAAGACACACACCTTACAGCTGCTATTACCTTAGCTACCACTTTACTATCCCAGCAGGAGGAAGGAAGGTTTCCTCCTCCCCCAGTAACAGCCCAGCCAATGAGGGACTGCCACAGCCCAGCCAAGGAGAGAGAGTCACAGCCCAGCCAATGAGAGATTGCCACAGCCCAGCCAATGAGACACTGCCACTACACTTAAACTCCCAGTATACATCAGTGGACTTACCGTTTCAACAGCCCTCCCAGCTCATCTTTCCTCTGTAAATGGGCCTCCTCTGCCTTATTGTCTTGACTTGCCTATGGTTTTGCCCTGGGTTGTTGGCTCTGCACTGCAGTCCTCTGCTATTACTGAGAAAACCCAGTTTTATAGGGAAAATAGCAAGAAAAATTGTCCTTTTTTTAAAAAAAAAGATTTTTATCTATTTATTTGACAGACAGAGATCACAAGTAGGCAGAGAGCCAGGCAAGGGGTGGGGCAGCAGGCTCCTTGCTGAGCAGGAAGCCTGACGCAGGGCTCGATCCCAACATCCTGGGATCTTGACTGTAAGGGCCTATTCAGCCAGAGCGGTCCCACCCCGGTTGAACAGCCATTTTGTTGTTTATGCAGTAAAACTTAAATTGACCCTGTCCCCCCAGGGGAACTTACTTAAAAGCAAGTCGGGGAAACCAGTCCCAGGTAACAAAGCCCAAATACAGGGCTTTGTTACCTGGGTGGGTAACAAAGGGTGGGTCAGGTCAGGTGGAGATAACAGCCCGAATGCAGGGATGAGTTGGGTCAGGTGGAGACATCCAATCAGTAAAGCGCGCATACTGTCTCCCTAGCTACCAAGGAGTGTGGGCCCTGCCTTTTGGGCGCCAATTCTGACTAAGGTGATAGGCTAGTTCAAATAGCTACTATGGGGGTGAATTGTAATTCAATTGGCCACCCGTGCGTGACCTAGCATAACTGTGCAGCTTTCTCTGTGTGTTACAATCTCATTCGCCACCTGTGTGTGGCCAGGCCCAACCACATGGCCTTTGCTCTATAAAAGTTAGTCTGTAAGGCAGGGAGGGGTTGCCCTCTCTGCAAGAGATGGCCCTGGCCGGTCAGTTTTATTCTCGATGCTTGGCGCGAAATAAAGCTTTGCTTGACCTTCACTTTGTATCAGTCTCGCTCCTTTCACCGTGGACCCAACAATGACCTGAGCCGAAGGCAGAGGCTTCTACCCACTGAGCCACCCAGGCACCCCAAAATTGTTCTATTTTTAAGGTTAATACATTGCCTTCTAAGTTGTCGATAAATCCTCATTATCTCTACGCTCTTTCCCAAAAGAAAATGCCATTTGATCATTCCAAGAGACAGTAAGTCTCCTCTAGAGTAACAGAACCTGCCAAGTTTTGAGATATATTCCACAAACAACACTGTGTGTAAATTTAAGGTATACAATGTATTGATTTGATACATTTACATTACAACATAATTGCTATCATAGAGTTGGGCATGCAGCCATGGATCACAAACCGTCACTTCTTCTAGTGTTGAGAACAATTCAGTTCTGATCACTGAGCAAGTTTAATGCTCAACACATTTTTGTTGTCTATAATCACTGTACTGTGTACTAGGTCTCTGGGACTAAGTGGCTTACTAGTTCCAGTAAGTACCTTTAAACTATATCTCTCCCATTCCCCCACCCTGCAAGCCCTGGTAACCATCATTTTACTTGCACTTATGATTTCAGCTTATTTAGGTTCCACATGCAAGATATATGAATCATGAAGTATTTCTCTTTGTCTGACTTACATTACTCAGCTTAATGTCCTCAAGGTCCATCCATTATTGCAAATGGCAGAATTTCCTCTTTTCTCATTGCTGAATAGTTATCCATTGTGTATATACACACCACATTTTCTTTATCCATCCATTGATAGACACAGGTTATTTCAAAAACTTGACTATCCTGAATAATCCTGCCTTAAACACAGGAGTATATATGTTTCTTTGGTATCCTGTTTTCATTTCCTTTGGATGCATATCCACAAGTGGGATTGCTGAATCATATAGTAGTTCTATTTTTAACTTTTTGAGGAA